TTCCATTCTCCTCATCTATAAAATGAGAACACTAGTACTCACTTTGCAGGATGTTGGAAGGATTACGGATAGCATGTGTGAAAGGCCAGCTTTGTGCTGGGCACACAATCAGAAGAACTTAGAACATGGTCGCCGCAGCTGCTTCTGGTTAAGTGGACAGTGTCCTCTCTTCAGGGACAGGTACTCACTCCCTCAAAGCCAGCTGAGGCTCAGGACATGAGTGAGCAGTATCTCTGGATGCAAAGGTCCCACTCTGGCTTGGAATAGAGATGGGCCATCCCTGCTGATCTCAGCAATCCTACAGGTTTCCTCCAGGCAGTCTTACTCCTGTCCTTCTCTTCATGTTCCTCTGAGGCACGGACCCAAATAGGATCCATGAATGGGTTTCAGTGTTTCGTGGAGCCCCTGACATTAGATATTAGAACCGTGTGTCAGTATGTATTTTTCTGGGATAAGCATCCATTGCTTCCACCAAATTCTCAAGGAGGTTATACACTACCACCCCTACCCCAAGTTAAGAGCTATTGCTCTAAATTACCCACTGCAGATCACATATTTCCCTCATATTGTCTCCTGTTGGACCACTGACTCACACTAGACATAAACTTTAGGTGCATAAACAGTTTGGGAAAGCCTTTATAAGCTAAATGGCCTTAATCATACAGCAGGTACTCACATGAAAGAGAACACTTATAATGAGCCATACTAAGAGTGACTACTACTTACTGAAGGCCTACTGCATGTCAGGCACTGACCCTGGTGCTTCACATATGTGATCTCCAATCCTCACAACAACTCATGCACACATGCATCCACCCCTACATTGTATTTTACAAGCCAAGCACAATACTATGGGATGCGGATGCAATGGTAAGAATTCAAAGATAGGGTACTGGCCTGCATGGAGCTTACATTTACATGGGAGAAAAAGATATCAATCAAAGATCACTCAAGAAAATGTACAATTACAACTGAGCTAAATATTATAAAGAAGAGATACACAGTGCTCTAAGAGCCCACTATAGGTAGAATAAACTTTTTTACAGAATTCAGGAAGGGAGTCCTTGAGAAATCATGATTAAGTTCAAGTCTAAAGAAAGAGTAAACACTTCACTGGGGAGAGTGGGAGGTGGGGGTGGAATAGAAAGAAGAGAAAAGAGAAAAAAGAGCTTTCCAGGCAAAAGGCATGTTCCAAAGCCCTGTGGCAGGAGGGCACCTAGAATCTCAGGTGTGGCGGTGTGCAAAGCAAGAGGGAATATGGACCGACTTGGGGCTGGATCTGCACAGGGGCCAGGCCCTGGAAAGCCTTGTATGCCATATTAAGGAATTCAGTTATATTCTTAGAGCACAAGGAAGAAGACATGGCTATGTTTTGCTCTGAGAGTGAAATAATCAGATTTGCTCCTCAAAGGATTGCTTTGGATGATATGGGGACAGACTGGAGGTCAGAGCAGACACAAGGAGACCATTAGGAAGCTATGCAGTAAAGCAGATAAAAGACCACAGCAGCTTAAACTGGGGTGGTGGCAGAAGAAATGCAAAGGCAGCAGACTGAGAAGTTTAGGAAACAAAATCCACATGATATGGGGGTGGTAAAAGACAGAGAGGTGTCTGGCAGGCTGCCCAGATATCTGGCTTATTTGACTGAATGGATAGCAGCGACATTCCAAGACAGCGATGCCCAGACTTGGGGTGAAGGTCATGAGTTCAGCTTGGACAAGTTGAATTTGAAGGGCTGGAGAAGGCAAGAAGGTAGTTGGATAACAAGGGATGAGGTCCAAAGGCAGGTTCATAATGGAAGAAGTGGTCACAGGCTTCATGGAAACAATGAGATCCCCCCAGAAAACAGAATGAAAAGAGAAATGTAGAAGGATGCCAACATTTCTTCATCTTACATGTGAAGACACCAAGGCTCACAGAGGAACAGTAACTTCTCCAAGGGTTTCGAAGTGCTGGTAAGAGGAAAAAGCAGGGAAGAGTAAAACACGAAGCCAGGGCGCAACTGCAAGGAGTTCACAGTAGGAAAAAAAAATGCCTATTTCTTTTGAAGAATATGGTAGAAACCTTCAAAGAAACTTCAACAATCAGAAGCACTGAAGAGAAATTAGAATTACACGAAAGAGAATGAACCAGATTAATGCAGAAAAAGCAGAAATGACTTCAAGTGATGTTTAGATTTCACAGAAATCTACTTTCCCCAGAGCCTTCTGTGATTTAGATCAGTCCACAATGATCTCTCCTTCCTCTCAACGTTCACATATCAGCTGCCCATTAAATGCCCAGCATGCCCCTAAATGTTGAGGATACAGTGTGGGGTAAACAATTTCTGTGCTAACATTGTACACAGGCTGGTGAGGGACAGGGGCAAGCAGACAAGCCAACCAATGACTGACATTAGAGCTAGGAGAGAGGCTGCTACAGGAGAGGAATATCGAATAGAGCAAGGAATTAGCCAGTGCTTCCCAGGGGTGATGACCAGAAAGAGGACTGAGGCCCTAGCCTGGTGAAGGAAGAGAGACAGAGAAACGCATGTCTGAAGGCAGAGAGGTGGGAGGAAGCATGTGGCATTTGGAGGGCACAGTTGTAGCCAGAACATAGGCTGCATCTTGAGAGAATATCAGTAGATAAGGCTAGAGTGATTGGCAGGAGGCAGGTTTGAAGAGGCCCTGAAGGCCAAGCTAATTTATTTTAATTTTATCCTGAAGTCGACAGAAACCACAGAGGGTTTTAAGTAGAAGAGTGACATGATCAAGTTTATAGGCTACAAAATGCTTTTGGGCAGCAGTGTGGGGAATGTATGGAAGGTACATTCAGGACCACAGATAGGGAAGTCTGCCAGAAGGCCATGGAACTCCTACAAAGCCAACAATGAGCATGGCTTCTGGTGAATCTTTTCAGAACAAGACAGGACATCGACAAACAACCAAAGTAATCATCCGTATCATTTCACTGGTACTTCTCTTCTGTTACCTGAATTTCTAGTTAACTTTCCACGAGTAAGTGTCTCAACTTGCCTGGAAGATCTCAGGTTCCATAATAGGTATAATCATACCTCACAGTTTCTAGCCCACAAGGAGGTGCTCAACATATATGCTGAGCAATTCCAGGCTTTCCTGAGATGCGACCCTAACCCAGTGAAGGGCTCTGTGTCTGAAATTGGCAGATGATTGGTCTCAGGGTCAGGACACTGGTAAACTCGCCTAGAGCACTGTAAAAGAGACTCCAGAGATTTGTTCAGTCTTTGAAAAGATGCTATTGAAGAAGAAAGGAAGGAGATGCATATTGAGCACCTGCTATGTCCTGGGCATTTTATTCACATTATCATGTTTAATCTTCACAAAGTCTTGTAGGAGGCAGTATTATTACCATTTAACAGACACACTAAAGTGAAGAAAGAGCATGCAAATTCCCCAAGGTCACTGAGCTACATCGCAAGTAGCAATGTTGGGTGTCAAATCCATGTCTATTTGATTCCAAAGGTCAAACAAAGACCACCTCCACCCTAATGATTCAAGAATGGAATGGAAGAAAGCATACAGGCTTTAAAATCAACCATTTGGCCGTATGACTTTGAGTCTCAATTTCATCAAATGGGTAATTCAGATACTAATAACACCTATTTCACAAAGTTATTACAAGATCAAGTATGTGAAAGTCCCTTTTAAATAATAAAGTGCTCCAAAAATTATTATTTTGGTATAAGTAAACTTTGGGGGAGGACCACTTATTTACCACACACAATTTGAATTACAGTTGCTTTCAAATGCAGGCCATTTAACCCTGCCTGCTAATGTAACAGGACCTCACCCTAGACTGGACTTTAAATTCTTAATGGTTGGTCTCATTGTTACTAATTGAGTTACAGTTCTGTGAAATTGCCTGGAGGAAAAGAAAAGCATTTTAATAAAAAATCAATCCTCAGTCATCAATTTAAAAAGGACTTCCTCCAAAAGAGTGTACTTATAAAAAGGTATCTTAAGTTCAGGCTAAGGAATAATCAGGCTATCAGTTAAAGGTTTCTTTTTCTCTCAACTCTGATATATCTACATTGAAATTATCCCATTTGATTTCATAACTTCATAATGCTAATCAATTTTTTATTTTCAATTTAGAACTCTTATAAGGCTAAGACAGTTTATTATATATCTCATCACTTCTAAAAGACATTTACAATAGTCTTTCATTCACTGAAAAATTTTATTGAGTGTCTACTATGTTGACATAGATAGTACAAGGGGGTAAAACAGTAAATGAGATCAGAGAGTTAAGTGCAAGATCAGAAAGGGATGGATTGATCACACATGGTCCCATCATGAGAAGGCTTCGTGGTGGAGATAGAATTTCAATAAAGAGAGAGAGTTTCTTGGAATTTTCACATAATATGTTTTGGGAAGATGATACAACATGAGGACAAAGAGCTATAGAAAAAGTTATAGGTATATTTGATTAGGGAGGTTGTCTTCTGAAAAACAGACAAGCTTAGTTAGAGAAATGGTTTATGAGGAAAATAGCATAAGACGAGGCTAGAAAAGTAGCTTGGAGCCAGAAGGAAGACACCAGTAACTCTTGATCAACAAATTATATAGCAAATGCGAATAGTTTGAGGAAGGTTTTTCTATAGTGGTGGTGTGCAAGATGGAATCAAAAAGACTTTGTCTAAGAGTGAGGTAATCAGGGCCTGAAATACAGTGGTAGCACTGAGAATATATTAAAACACAGATATAAAATATATCAGGAAGGAAAACTGAAATAACTTTATTTCTAATGGGAAGCGAGGAATCTAAAATTACTCTGAGGTGCGACAGAGCTAGGAAAATCTGAAGTGGGAGCTGACTTGAGAACTGCAGTGGGGAGAGAGTGAAGGTAAAGAAATGTTCTGAAACATTCTTTGAAGGGCTGAAGAAATCTAAATGAGTTTGAATTTTTAGGTGGTGTATCATAACAAGAACACTGGATTTTTTTTTGCTGGACAATAAAATGATACTCAAAGTTTCTCTGACCTTTGTCCTTTGACCCTTGAAGAAATCACTGCAGTGTTTAAGCAAGGAAACCAGCACCATGTTCTCATCATACTTGATCAAGAAGTAAGGTAGCGCTGAGACTCCTTCTGTTTGACAAAGATCATCATATGCACGCTCAAGGGCTTGAATCTGCAAACAAGAAATACTGAGTTATCCTCCAGACAATTACATATCTGGTTCTCAGCTAAAAATTAACATAAAATAAAGGTACTTTCAAGCCAGAAGACTGGAAATGACTGATCACACCCCTGTTGCTCTTTTGCAGCAAATGAACATGAAAGTGCCCCCAAATAATATACTTCACTTTTATGTGACATCTTTCACGTGCATGCCGGTATGTCTTAGCGGCACGAAGGGACATTTTATGGTACAGCATGGTGGTTCTCTAAGATGTCAACCACAAAGGTTGAGAGAGGTATCCAAATATTATTCTTCTCCTGTAATAACCAAGCATGAATCTACCACTGATAAATTTTACCATGGACTTATGCATAATCTTTAACAGCTTTACTGAGACAAACTTTCACTTACCAATCAACTGACCCGTTTACAGAGCACAATTCAGTGCTGTTTTTAGAGACAGAATTTCAATAAGGAGAGTTTTTTAGGATTTTCACAGAATATGTTTTGGGAAGATGATACAACATGAAGACAAAGACATATAAAAAGAGTTCTTTCATTAGGGAGGTTGTCTGGCGAAAACAGACAAGCTTAATTGGAGAAATGCCTTATTGGTGAAATTCAAGTTCACAGGATTATGCAACCATCACCACAATAAGTTGAGAACATTTTTGTCTCCCCCTAAAAGAAAATTCATACCCATCAGCAGTCAATACCTATGCGCAATCCTTTTCCCCCACTTATATTTTTCCTTGGGAAATTAGTTTCACAAAAGTACGACCTTAAACAAATATTATTTTTTAATCAGTAAGGGCTGTTCCATGGCTTAACAATGCAAGATTTCTGTGACTGATGTCCTTCATGAATTCAAATCATTTTACCACTCAATTTTTTTCCTCAACAGTCAGAATTTTTGGTTTAGGGCCTGTGTTGTACCAGCCTGATTATTTTCATTTCTCTTCTTGGGACTATCCCTAATGACCTTATTATCTTTTTTAAACTGCAAAGACTAGTCTGCATGTACCATTCTTGATGTAGAACTTCTGCTACTTGGCACAAGGTAAGAAGAATGTCTTCTATTTGTTTTTAAAGACTCTCTTCTCTAAGTATATTGACTTATGATCCCCCATACTTAAAGTGAAGACCACATTTTAGCAAATTCTTACAGTCTTATTAAATGTTCCTATAATTCCTCCCTACTGGCTTAGCATTTCACCAAATTCACTGAAAACCTGGAAAATTATTGCTCACTACTTATTCAAAATGATTTTACAAACATTTTGTGAATAAGTCTTTTCCTCGTACTATCTTTGGAGGATTCCAAAATGACCATTTATTCATCCAGACAAGTGCTTATTTGTCTTTAGAATATATTAGACAAACTATTATTGCACATTAAACCCAATTTCACCTGCATTTTGTTTTATTGATCATACCTGTTTTGGTGAAAACCTTTGATCCAAGCCCACTGGCTTCTGAATGAGGGGTATGCTCTCTGGAAGGCAGAGGGCAGGAGAGCAAAACCAATAGTAGAAATGGTACTTCTTTAGATCCTAGAAGAAAAAATATAACATAGGGCATCAGAAAAGCACCAATGACTAAACTGAAATGTATATATTCATGTAATTTCCCATAGCCATGAAAAACAGAAAAACTGATAAATATAAGATGACTAGCTTGTCAGAAATTCTCATCTCCAGCAGAACTCATGATGGAATATTGAATTTGTCTTTATCTCAAAACACTCCCACACACCACACACTACTATATCACAATAAACATAATATAGTTTTTCAGCCACATGCTAACAAAGTGTTCAGTAAGTAATTGACATTATTGTCATCATTGTTTAATATACAAAATCACTCTGGGAGGTAACTATTATCATCCATTTTAAAGACAGAAAACTGAAACCTAGAGAAAAATGAAGAACTTGAACAAAACAAAGATCAGAACGCTGCTTTCCAAACTGAAGCTTTTGTCCATGGTACCAAACACACTCAATGTTGCATCTATGGAGACATGATCTCCAAATAGTTACCATCCTCTTCACAATCAAATGAGTTAAGCATGTTATTAAAGAAGCTATGCTATTCATAATCTACATGTGCTGAGATAATATAATGCTGCTTTCAGAAATGCCTTATTGGTGAAATTCAAATTAACAACTATTAAGTACTTGCTCTGTACAAGGCAAAACATTAGACACTGACAATAAGAAAATGAATAAAACCCAGTATCAGTCCTTGGGCAGCTCGTTTTCTGCTCAAAGCAGAAATAAAGTGAGTACATGATTAACTGTATGAGTCACGGAAGAGGTTCTAAGAACTAAGGAACATCGATAATATAAAAGATTACACCTTCAGGGGTGAGTCTGACTGTTCCCCCAGCAGGGGAACCAATGCAGGAGAAAGGACTAGTGAAGCTGTCCTAGATACAGCTGTTCCCACTCAGGTTGAATGTTCTTGCTCCTGAATTCCTCCTACAGGGTCTGTGGCCTGAATCACTCATGTGTAGGATCTAATAGTCATGAGGCTATTTGACAGTTTACTCACCAGTTTGCCACCGCTAACCACTATGGACTTTATTTGGCTAATTAATTTTTTTCTTGAATCTTGCCACAAATAAAACAGTGGACAGTTGTTTTTATTAAGATGTAATTCACACACCATAAAATTGATGATGTTAAAGTATATAATTAAATGTTTTTTGTTTTTTTTTTAATATATTGACAAGGCTGTACCATTATAACCACCCATTCTAGAACATTTTCATCACTCCAAAAAGAAGCCCCTTTAGTAGAAACTCCCCATTCTCCCTCTCCCCAACCCCTGGAAACCACTAATCTATTTTCTGTCTCTCTGGATTTGCCTTTTCCAGGCTTTTCAAATAAATGAAATCATACTAGATGACTTTCTAAATATAAACTTATATATAAATGTGTGTCCAGATAAGTCTAGTAATTATAGTTTTCACACTCTTTAATTCTGCCACTAATTGATCAACTAGGAATAAATTCCCTTTTGACAATAGCAAAACAAACTGCAAAATTGAAATTAATGAAGTGTCTGTTCCTTTGAGTCCTAAAAAAAAGCAAAAACACCTCCAGAGATTATTCTTTCTTTTTGTACTTAAATGATTTATCATAACTGATCTTTAGTAAAAGGTTAAACAATTCAAGATGAAGGCCTTTACAATTTCTAAGCAGCTTTATCAGGCCATCTTCAAAAGTCCAAAGGCTTGAATTTCTCAGAATTCTTTTCAGGATATAAAAGACCTTTATTAAATTAAACATAAAGCCCTTGGTATCTGAAGATTTTAAAAGATAGAGACTTTTAATTTTTTTAAAAGGTAGGTTGAGAATGCTCAGTAAAAGGCCAACAAGGCCAACATACATACTGACTCTGAGAAATGCCTTAAAACTTTACGTTCTTTTCCATTTAAATGTAAATTGTCAACTAGATTCCACTAACTAAAATTCTTAGTATGGAAAATGTACTGATGTTAAAGTAACAAAACCAGAAATCTTGAGTACTACTTATATTTATCCCAGTAGTGAACCTACAAAATGACTAAATTTTATAGACAAATTATCAATGCCAAATTGCACCTAGTAATCCCATGAAGAATTTAAAAGTTTTTCTATGTCCGCACTATTACATGGAAAGCACTACAACTTGTTAGAAAATGTGCTCCTTGTAGATAGCCATCCTTTGGTATGGCCTCCAGTTTGATTTCTATCATTCTCTCAGTAAACCAGAGAGGCAGCATTCAGAAGAAATGAAGGATTAGTTCATCAGGGAGGAAGAAAGGCAAGACCTATAACTTGGCAAAAAAGAAAAAAGAGAGAAAAATGTGGAGAAGAGGATTAACATCCAAAGCTAATAAAGCTGTGGTGAAACATCACACTTTATATTGATCTACATCAATATGTTTATATGCCCCCTCCACAGAATTTATTCTAAAGAAATAAAATGAACAGGGGGGGAAAATCAGTATGGCCACTATTGTTTATTACAACATTGTTTTAAATAGTGAATATAGGAAACAACCTAGCTGTACAAGAGTCTATAGTATATACACTTAACAGAATACTATGTAGCCATGCTTTATTACAAAGGATAAATTACTTTTATATGTAGATATATACAGGTATGCACACACATATATAAAATGTACAGTTTTATCACACTTTGCTTTATTGTGCTTTACAGATATTACGTTTTTTACAATCTGAAGGCAAAATCCGCCACCAGCAAAAAGATTATGACTCAGTTTATTGCAATACTCACTTTACTGAAGTGGTCTGGAAACAAACCTGCAATATCTCCGAGGTATGCTTGTACATATATATATGTATATATGTACACACACACGTGCACACGCATGTGTGTATATGGGTAGAAGGGTAGCTGGTATCTCTACAATCAACCTTTTCCACTCTCCCAACATCACCGAGATCAGGTTCTTTTCCCTACTTTCCTAGACAGCAAATGTTACCCTAATGTGATTTCTTTTCCTCTTCCAAGCTGCCCTTCATGTTACTTTTAAGTAGATCTCACTTATATAAAACATTTTCTTTCTTATAAAAACACAATTGTGTGAACAAGTATGGAATGTCATCTCCTCTAGTCCGGAGCTGCTTGGGGATGGTTGGGGTCCCTGAGACCTCTCCTTTTCCTTATGTTGATGGACCCAGCAACTGAGCTTTGCAGGACTGTATTTAGCAAAGACGTTAGCAACAAACCACTACTCCTTGAATCTGACTTCATCGTGTCTTGAATGACAACAGTTGGATTACTGTGTTATATAAACCATGCAACTACTACCAGTTGTATGACTATACCAGTATGGTAAGTGAGAATAAATTAATTTTGCATTGGTAATAAGTGCCAGCACTATATTGGGCCACTAACCAAATGAGTATTTCTTTAATAGCCATGACTTAAATGACGCAAGGTAAAAGCCACTAGGAGAAGAGAGCAAACTGTACTATTGGCACCCTGGGCCTGCTCAGGGCATCTGAGCAATCTAAGTGTGAGGGAGAGTCCATTTACTTACTGCAAATGTCAAGAGGAGAAACTTGTTGAGGAGGACAGGGTTTTCAAGAGCAGCACCAGATTTTATGGATTCCCATATCTGCCAAAAGAAAGAAAAGCATGAGGCATCTCTGAGCTTCTCATTCTCAGACGAAGCACGAAGATTTAAAGCACTTAACTCTTTCCTACAGGCCCAGCACCACTTATCACAGGCAATGAAGTCGGTTGTTACTTCACACTCCTCCACCAGCTGCACTACTGTAACAGGCTGAGGAAAGTGAGAGAACCCAGAAGCCGCCTTCTCTCTATGCGAGTCTTAGAATCAGAGGAGGCAACCAGCCCATTTCCATGCCTTTGATATTTCCTTCAACAAATATTTGTTTCCTATTATATATCAGGCACATCGAGGTTACCGAAATAAAAGACACAGTCCCTACCCTCAAGAAGTTTATAATCTAATGAGAGCCAGGCATACATGTCCAAGTATACCACCAGGTAAGGCGGGCTATCACAGAAGAATGCAGCATTTCTGGGAGGAACACTGAACTCAGCTAGGAGATGGGAGCGAAAAGAGCCAGGGAAGTCTTTTGGGAGGCAGCGATTTGAGCTTTGTATAAGGGATTTCTTCAAGTCTTATTTGGGATTATCTCATCCTGAGATATGAAGGAAAGAGAATGAACTTCGGGTTTATGAATACTCAGCAAGTACTGTGACTAGAAGCAGAAGCTGGTACTGGTTAGCAGCTGCTGATCACAGGATGTCTTAATAGCTAAGATTAGTTGCTAAACTTGTGTCACTAAGCAAGACAAAGAGCTGTACCAATAAGAACCATTCTCCACATTTGGGTGGAAGGGGGAAATAAGCAAAGAAAAGTTCCTACTATTGAAATAATAACTGTGGAGGAGCTGGTCCACTAAGAGTCTCCCCACTTCTGATAAGCTGAGGTGGAGAGATTCTGAGGAAAGGCTGAACCCTGGGCAAGAGGTGGCAATTCCTGGGGGAGCAACCCACTATTTTCCATGATGGATTAAGACCTGGCATGACTCTTTGGAGACAGCCTTTTAAATATGTAGCCAAAGCAGGAGCCCAGGAGCGGTCAAGTGTAGGCCAAAGAGAACAGCCATCGTCGCCTGAGTCATGAGCTGCATCCATCCTGAGGGACGTAAGGGACACCCTCCTTAGGACCAAAGGCAAGAGACTTCCTTTTCTGACCATGGCACCACATAAATAAGACTCTTTTTTTTTAAGACTAGTGTGAAGATCACTTGATAAAGTGGGTTAGAGGGAATTGGGATAAATTGTCCCCCCATTCCAATTCCTCATACTAACTCAGATGTGAAGTAAAGACATTCCAGGCAGAGAGAATACTGTGTCCTGAGGATAAAGGAGAGAACAAAAAGTAGGTGAAGGAAAGACTCAGAAGTGCTTTTCTATGACTGGGTCCAAGAAGGGGAGGGCAAGAGTGATAGGACAGAAAGGCCACAGAAGGCCACAGAGGCCAGGCCATGAAGGGCCTGGTAAGTCAGATGGAGTAGTTTAGATTTAGCCCTGAGGATACGAAGAGACTTTATGATTATCTCTGATGGCATGATGTGCTTAGGACTGGACAGCCTCTTCCAGGGCCACAGAGAATTCAAACACATTTAGACACAGGAAAAGAGCTCTTCAGAGGTCAAGCTGCTTCAAAATGCTAATTGGGGATCAGCAGTAAAGCTTTTCTCACACTGCCCGTCATGAATTCTGGCCTAAACCCAGGTGGAAGCCTCAATGTCTTTTCCTTGACCTTCCCACCAACACAGAAGCCCACAACTATCTTGGAGTAGCAACTATATACTAGTTTCTATGAGAGACTTGTGCACCTGACTAGAAACACCACACCTGTGGAACCATGGAAAATATGATGGATATATCATGTTTCCCCAGCTAACCTCATTTGCTGCTTGTTCCAATAGTAGCTTCTTATCTGCAGCCTTGAAAGCCTCGAGTGTGTTGGTGTTATATAGTGTTCCAACAGCTGGGCAGCAATGGGCTGGGGTGGGTGCACTCCTGGATACAAGAAAAACATGGTTAAGCAAGCATAGCTGGGACTCAGAGATCCAGGAAGTAACAAATAAACCAGCACAACAGCAGGAAACAGAGAACAGTGCTCTGTAGGGGCAAACAGAAGACTGATTGTACATTTCTTTGGAAAAAGATGAATATCATTGTTTAAGAAATAAAAACAGGCACTGTATCCCCCCAAAGCCTCTATATTCCCCTTACCCGAATCTCTCAGCATACTTTTCCTTTCACTAGCCCCCAAATATAAGTTCTTTTTCTATTTTTTATTCTTTCCCATCTTTAACCTGAAAGGGAAACATTGTTTATTGAGCTTCTACTGTGCCAAGAACTGTACAAGGCTTGAATTCTCATAACAGCTTGTTCCGCTATTTAAAAGTTTAAAGAAACTTGCCTATGGTCACATAAGAATAGGCAGAACTAGAACCTAAAGTCAGAACTAGTTGGCTCCAAGATGTTGTGCTGCCTACTCTGCACTCAAGCCCTCCCAGGCTTCAGGGCCCTGTTCCAAAACCTCCTCCTCCAGGAAGCCATCTCCCATTATCTCTGGTAATGGTTTATACATAAAACTGAGCATAATATTTTAGAATGTTTTCAAGACCAACAGTTATATACACCAAACAGGAGGACAGTAAGCTCCCTGAGGACAGAGAATATGCCTTCCTCTTCTAACTGTCCTACAACTGAGCACAGCCCAAACAGGCTCTGCACAGATCTGCTGCTGAGCAAATCCCTGGTCGTTGTCTAAGTCACTTAGACAAAATGTATTACACCTGGGCTACGTGCCAATCCATCGCGCCACATGTGTACTGTACACTGCCCCCAAAGGCCTCACAGTCTTCAGAGTAATCAGTCAGGAGAGGAAGATGAGTTGATGCTGAACATAAACTCAGATGTGGAGAAATCTGGTCTCTTCCTTGAAATGATTGACTTGTTTCAGAGGTTACAGATGCTAAATGTAAACACCGTTGTCATTTAAGAACCTACTGCAGAAAGAATGCATTTTTATTGATTGCACTGATGGTAGTTGTATGGTTTAAAAGACCAGTGTCTCTTCATTCGAAGTCTGTATAAAATTGAGTTTGGGAAGCTGTAAGAAGAGATCTAAGCCTAGAATAGGAATGGAGAAGTGCAATGAGTGACAAAGATTCTGCCAAATGCTATCTGTAAGGCTCAAATGCCAAGTCTTGAGGGAGAAGTAACTTCCAATGGCCAGAGCCTTCCTCTGGGAGCTGATGAGTCAGCAATCATAAGTTGTTTGTCACTACTCTACTCCAATAAAAGAATATTTTTCATCCAGGTGAGATGAGGCTATCAAAGATAGTCTTGATAAGAAAAAGAAATCACAAAGAGGTGAGATTATTCTACAGGGAGGAAGAAGAAAGCAGAGTAGTTAGTAAACTAGGTTCTCTACATTCGGACCTGGCTTTATGAAACTACCGGTGAAACAGGATGCTGAAACAGCAGGAAGGAGGCTATGAACTAATACAGATACAAGCACAAGAAAGGAAGGTACCCTCCTTCCTAAATGTCTAAAAGTCCTAGGTTTGTGAAAGCCATGCCAAAGCCTTGCTCTGAGAGTGGAGGAAACTATATCATGAGAATTCAAGCCAGGACAGCTATGCTCCTAGAACATCAGTGCTCATGCTAGTTGGTGAGGACAAGATGAAGTTTCAAAGGAGCATTTTTCATGACTAAAGTTCCACCAGGGGAGGGAAACAAATTTAAAAAGTGAAAATGGGAGGGAAAGCCATTCTACCAGTTTCTCAAGGTTCAAGTTCCACTTGTTTCACAAAGGGGTGGCTCAGATGAGGACTGGAAAGAGCCCTAGACTTTGAAACAAGAGAATTTAGTCCAAATTCTGGTCTTGGACATTTATTAGTTTAGTTTCCTTTCCCATGGCTCCATTTACCTAAAATGTCTAGAATAGGTAAATCCACAGAGACAGAAAGTGGATTCCTGGTCGCGTGAAGTAGAGAGGGGGATGGACAGAATAAATTAAGTGACTGTACCTTTTTGAAAGGTAAATTTTATTATATCTCAATATAATTCTGTTTTAAAAATCAAAATTAGAAATCTTTCCCATATACTAAAACCAACAGTGAACTCGCAATGATGTGTACACTCACCTGGGAAAGAATGGATGTTGCAAAGATCTGCAGCCTAGACCTGCTTGGGGGTGTTACCTCAGGAAACTCAGCCTTCATTTCACTCGGTCTCTTGGTTATTACTCAGGAAAGTACTGAGACTATTTTGCACCTGTTATTCATACTTGACCAAGGGTAGCCATGTGGCCAGAGCCTCCGGAACAGACAGGCAGTGAAGGTGGCCAGGATGGAATAAATCCCCCAGAAGGGCAGAGGTCGCTTTTCACACTTGCAGAAATCTTACTCTATGAGCACAGCTTTGCATGGTCACAGGGAACTTTGTAAACCTGGGAAGTCATACTCAGTCTGGGGACAAGCTGCATTATCTCCTGTTTTCCACAATAATCTGAGTTCCCGTTTATAACATCTTCTTACAGAGTCCATTGGTGTCTTTCTGTCAACCACACCCTATCCCATTTTGACAGCTACATACTTAGACTGCTTGTAACTGAATCCAACAATTATTTTAGCCACTAGTACCTGTCAGATCTGTTTTAAGTGCTAGTGAGATAGCGGAGAATAAGACATAGCCTGCACCCTGCAGAACGATTTTGTATATCAGCCTTATTTCCCTAGCTACTTTTTAAGTTCTTTGAGGGCAAGGATTATGCCTCCTATTTCTCTAAGTCCAACTCAAGGCTTAGAAAATAA